GAACAGATAACTTGATTTCTTCTATAAATCCTGCTACTGCCAGCAACTCGTTAAACCAGTACATCTCAGACTTCAGTGTCCGGGCTCTTACAGATCTGCAGTACGTTAAGGTGAGAACCGTGCCCAATCTAGCACCCTGCGCATCCCCTTGGGCTTCCTTGTTCCCCTGCCCAACTAGATCTGGCTATGTGGATTTCTGTCTTTCCAAGAAACAAGTACCTTGCTTGATTCTAGCCTCAAGGGGTTTATCTTCTTCCTTGGATCTGCTTTCTGCTGTCTATTCAGCTTTAAATGACTGTATTTCATTCTTAACTAGCCTAACAATCAGCTGAGATCTCTGCTTTCCATGATTGTGACTCTTTCCCCTCACAGATCACACGGCAGCAGTATCAGAATGGTTTGGTGGCCACAAGAATGGAGAGCTGCCCCCAGACTCCTGTAGACAGCCTCACTGCTGAAGGCTTCTTGTCAGAGAAGTCAGATCTGCAGATTACTGATGAGACTACAAGCCTTCTCAATGATCGAAATGTTCATCTGAACAAGACCACCCATAACTCCCATGAGAGCCCTATGTGACAGGGGGGCCCGGGGCCCCCTACCAATCCCTTGGGGGCCTCCCTAGTGGGCCCACATCCACAGAGGGAGCGGAGCAGACAGGGGAGCATGGCCCTGGCCACCCCCTTGATAACCTGTCTGGCTCTCCAAGCAGATGTTCCCTAGCCTGTCCTAGGCAAGGAGAAGACGTTGCCCTTCCACAGGGAGCCTTCAAGGAGCTTCCAGGGAATAGTAGTTGCCTGGAATTTCTGTAGGATTGCCTGGGTGGTACTGCCCAGAGGCAGATCCTGGGAACAGTTGGGAAGAGGCAGGGATTTTTTTTTTTAATTAAGAGGATTTCTAAAGAAAGCTCATTGCTGCTCTTTCTAAACTTTACTTTGGGGGAGGGTGGGATGGGGTTGGGATAATGGGATTAGGAGTTTTTATTAAATTTTTTTTAAAGAAAATTTGAGGTACTGCCTCATGAGGTTTCTTCCCCAGGAAATAATAGCCATAATTCCCTTCCCTTTAGACTTGAGCTTCTAGCTTATTTTCCCTGACTCAGGGATCTCCAGACCCCAGCTGCCTCCTCTCCAGGCCTTTCTGATGGGTCACATCCTAGGGGCTTGCTAGAAGAAGGGGATCATACCCTATGTATCAGCAAGGAACCTAAGATCTTTAGACAGAATTACCTAGGCATGTGACTGAGGAATTAGTCCTTAGAACTAGGGATGATTAGTTCTTCTGAATGGTCAACATTCAGCATCTGAAAGCCCTTGATCAAGGACACAATAAATGGAGCTATGGGGAAGAGCTTCTGCAAAGCCAAGGTCCAGAATCTTCCCAAATCCAGAACTCCTTGAGCTGTGCAGAATGGCTCTTAGGGGTATTTAGTGGATTGGGCCATAACTCTTTCATTCCTTTTGATAACATGGTTCCCCCTGCACCTACCCCTTGCTCTTATGATGATCCCTTATGATGAGAACTGAAAGTGTTACAGTCCAGAGTCATTAACATAAGCCCCTGCCCTTTCTTGAACCAAAGTCCTGGCCCAAATGGAAAGAACATCCAAACTGAAGGAGGCCTGTCTGGGAATAATCCCTTCCGGAGTGAGATTGTTTGGGGGCATTTGTGTTGCTGAGAATGAGTTCTTTAGAAGCCAAGTCAAAGACAGACTCCTGACCTGGGAGGAGCCATCCTAGATTTCAATATTCGCTATTTTTGATCCAGATTTATCTTTCTACCAGGGCAAATACCTTTGCCTCCCCTCCCAAGGGTTGGAGATGAGAACTGTCAGATAGGGGAGGTCCTCTTGTCCCTTACACTGCAGCACAAGGCAGGATGCTTTCATCACTTGACAGCTTCTACATTTCCTTGAGGGAGGAAACTGTTCTATCTACAAAGCTCCCTGCCCTGTCTGGATAGTCCTGACAGTCATCCTGAATTCTGTGGATGTCATTAATGGTACTGTAGCCCTGGAAGCTCAAGTTTTTCCCAGAAGTTCTCTACAGGTCTCTTCTTTTTGGCCCTATCCTAGAATTTTAGATCTTTTTAATGGGGATGCATTGGGACCAAGTGGCTCATTGCCTGTTGTTCAGGAGGAAAGAAGAGCTGGGGCCCAAGAACCATGTGGAGAGTAGATATGGTTTCTTTGAGGTGTTATTTATTTATTTATTCCATTTCCCAGCCAACAGAGTCCTACCTTCAGGTGCTCTGTTCTCCAGATGCCTAAAGAATCCCATCTCTTGGGACCAAGACATATCTTCTGTCATGGATGTCTGCCCCCTTTTTTGGTCATCTGAAAACAAAGGGGGCATGGTTTTCCCTAGTTCACTCCTCTCCTGCTAGAATCAGTGACCTCCATGGATTGTCAGTCACTAGGCCCTTTGTGGGGAAATTCCACCTTAATTCTCCAGGGGCATCTGTGACTACCCTCAGCCAGGAGGTGACAAGGCTTGAATTCTTTTCAGACCTGTTAGAGTGCAAGGGAATCCTATGGTGTAAGCCAGGGAAGCAAAAGTCATTCTTCTGAACCAAATGGATGTGTGCTGAATTAAAATGAGGCAGATTACACACACTTCCACACCTACCTCTTTTTAAACATATGGTTACTGCCAACAGATGCTCCTTTCTCCCAACTTCTGGACAACGTATTCCTGCTGATGGTCAGGCAGCATTCCCAAATGTTTCTGGTCCAAAAACTTTCTCCTTCTAGTGGAGGAAGGAGGAGCTTTCCAACTTCTGTGACCTGGTCTCACCTTCTCCTTCATGTGCTTTCTTCCTGGGCCTGAATTACATACTGGAATTGTCCTATCTCTGCTTCTTCCCACAAACTGAAATCGACCTTCGTATACAGCATTTAAATGCAATAGACAGGTCATATCCAACATTGCAAATAACTCCTATTTATTTTGTGCGAGATTTTAATTTGTATATTTTTGTGATTTTTTTTTTTTGGCCATTGTTCTAAGTTTGACTCTCGGGGAGTTTTGCTGTTTCATTTTGTCTGTGTCTTTTGTCACAAAGCTGATAATATTTGCTAAACGAGATGTGGAATTTATTTTTGATTGGTAATAAAAATGAAATGTGTATAAATCTCAGTGAGTTTGAAATCCTTCTGAACTGCCTGAAAGTTCAGGGGACAAACAATCTCAGAAGAGCAGACAGATTTTAGTGATTTTAATAATTCTGTTCCCAGTGACAGGACAGGTATTCTGGATCTGTTAAGTAATTAAGTATTAACACAATATTTGGAACAGGAATGTAATCAACATGGAGAAGAGACAGATGATATTGTATAATTGGCATGGGCTTGGAGTCAGAAAATTTGGTTTCAAGTCCCCACTCTGCTACATACTAGCTGTGTGATCTCAGACAAGTCACCTCCCCTCTCTGGGCTTCAGTTTCCTCAGTTGTAAGATGAATGAGTTGTACTAAAACATATCTGGGGTAGCTAGGTGGTACAGTACATAGAGTGCTGGGCTTGGAGTCAGGAAGACATCTTCCTGAGTTCAAATTTGGCCTCAGACCACTAGCTGTGTGACCCTGGACAAGTCACTTAATCCTGTTTGCCTTAGTTTCCTCATCTGTAAAATGAGCCGGAGAAGGAAATGGCAAACCACTCCAGTATTTCTACCAAGAAAAGCCCAAATGGGGTCATGATGAGTCAGACACAACTGAAACTACTGAACAACAGAAGATCTCTAAGGTCCTTTGCAGTTCTAACGTTCCACCAAGGAGGTCTTTTTAACAGTCTGGTCTTTTGGCATAGGAGTTTAAAAAACAGCAGATGCTGGCCCATGAAACTAAACTCAAGGCAGCATGGTTCTGGACTTGGAGTTAAAGACCTGGTTTTAACTCTGGCTCTGTCATTTACTGCTCTTGGCCTTGGCTAGGTCATTTCTCATCTTTGGTTCTCAGTTCCCTCATCTATAAGTGTGGGAGTTTGACCTTCCAGCTCTAAATATTTCATGACCACATGTCTTTGGATAAGGAATTGTGGTTAGAAGGAAAGAACCTTGTATCTGCAGTTAAGAGAAGGGCCTGGTTTTGAGTCCTACTTTAGACAATTTACAAGTTGTATATCCCCAGGCAAATCACTTAACTTCCTCTGGGCCTCAGTTTCCTCATCTATACAATGAAGGTAATAATGCCTGTAGTGCCTTATAAAGTATTAAGCCTATAAATGTCCACTGTTATTAAGATGCTTCTAGGAAGGGGTGGAGACTATAATTAAGGAAATCCAGAAGGAAACAAATGGGCAACAGTCCGGGTACAGGGGACTGGTTAATGTCTGGCTTAGTGCTTTGGTCCTAGAAAGAGGACAGAGAAGCAGGTCTGAAAGGGGGTGTAGGGGGAAGAAGTTAGGGATGGACCAGGTGCATCACCAACGCCAAAAAACTGCTGGATTCTTAGAAGTCTTTGGGGTAATGACATATTTTAAATGTTTCCCAAGTTTGTTAATTCCTAGTAATATTAAGTAATCTCAGATCAATGGATAAGTATTTATTAAGTACCTAATATTCTTTTATAGCTCCTCTTCTGGGGGAATCAGACGAAGAAGAAAATTACTTCTCTAACAACAAGGAACTGCTTCTGGGTCCACAGGGGCTGGTGGCCTTTGCTCACTCCCTTCTCCATTACAAGATCCATATACTCTAGACCTGTGTATGTGGTCTGGACTGAGTTCAGTCCTGGGAGCCCAGCCTGTAATGAGAGTGGGGCTGTGATCCCTTTTCTCACACTCTTCAGCTCAAACCTTAATCCTAGTAGCCCAGGACAATTTAGCTTAGATTTTGTCTCATCTCTGATGTTTCTCCAAAAAGGGATCCAGTGTGTATTATGAATCAAAGATGCAGCTATGCCTGCACAAAAGACAGCTCACATCCACAGAGCAACTTAGAACAGCATTTTGCAATAACTGCAACAGTCTGGGAGGCTGATACTTATGCCTCATCACAACATACCGTAGTTTGCAGGTCTGGCTGCGTATTCGACGTTTACATTTCACCCGAGCTCTCTCCACTGTCCAAACAACTACCAGTACAACGTCTGGTAAAATGGAGCCGATGGTGATCTTGTCATCTTTGATCAAGAAGCTCCCCTTGCAGCTGGGCAGTTTCACTCAATAAACCCAGTCCCTTTGGACCTCTTGGACTTTAAGTTGACTCCGAGCCTTGACACCTCCACCTTGAGATTGATAATTATTTGTTCAGAAAAGGAAACAAATCAGCCATAGGTCTAGATGCAAGCTCTGCTAATCAAGTCCATTTTCCATGTGGGAGTAGGGGGAAAGCTCACATCTCACCTCCATATAGCACCTCACAGAGAGTTGAGAGAGTGAGCTCACTTCTTCCCTGAAGAAGAGTCAAGGCAAGGAAAGCTGGCAGGAAGCAGTTTCTTCTTTGAACTGATTCAGCGTTCTACTTGTTGTCACAAGATGGGAAGGAGGACCAAAGGTCCATTCAGGATTTTCCGGAAGTCCCTTCAGTCCTGGCCCCAGAGACCTCATTTGTTTGACCAGGGTCACGAAGGGTAACTCTAAGAATGTCCTGTCATATGTATCCTGTTACATACATACATAGCAGTGAGTAAAAACCAAGAGTCTGTCCACTCACAATGGTCAGTTGGTTGTGGTATTTGAAATTCTTTTTGGCCAGCAGAATTCTGCTCTCTTCTCCAGCTTTGTCATATATTTTTTTTAAAAATGAAGTTTTAACAATTAACAAACATTTCCCAACAAAACAACCTTTTCTCCCCAGAGTTCATTCCTGTGAAACAGTTATCTAGCTTGTGTTTCCTACTACACTCTTCTCAGTCACCAAGGGTTTCTAAATGGTTGTCCTGCCTAGAACACACACCCTAAGCTAGGGGCCCCCTAAATCTGTTGACCAACTCAGCAGCATTACCAGTACAGTTTCATCATTATCATTCACATTTTACTCTTATAAAACCCACTCTTCATAGCAATCCTGGGAGGGAAGTGGTAGAGTTATTAGCCCCGTTTTACAAATGAAGTAACTGAGTTTCAGAGAGGCTAAGTAACTTGCCCATAGTCATACAGCCATTAAGTAGCAGAGCTGGGAATTCCAGTCCAGGTTTCCTAGCTCCAAATCCAGGGTTCTGCCTTGTATTCCATGACTCCTAACTAATAATTGCTAAGCAACATAGAAAAAATGAAAGTATATAATTTGCATCTGGGACTGCAGTATCCAAGATACTAATGATCTTAGTGACCCTGAAACTCAAATGGTCTCTCTTGAGCTAGTGAACCTGGCCTTGATTCTAGTCTGTTGATTTTTCAGGGTCTCTTCCTGGGATTTAAGTTTAAAACCAAACCAAGCAAAACAATCTAGTGTTGTTAGAAATAGAAGAGACCTTGGAGCCCATCTGGTCCAATCTCATTTCACAAACAAGGAAACCAAAGACCAAAGAGGGCAAGGACACCCTGAAAGGTAGAATATATAAGCTCCTTGAGGACAAAACTGAGCCATGAAAAAGAAATTTTTTTTGCATCCTCGGTGCCTTGCACATAGGAAATAGTACAGATTTATTTATTTGCGGGATTCAGGAAGAAGAGTGTGAATCTTGCCTCACATATTTATTAACTATGACACCAGGCAACAATATCAGCCTTAGTTTTTTCATCTGTAAAATGACTGGGTTGTCAGTGATCCCTAAGATCCTTTCCAGCTCTAAATCTATAACCTTATGATCACAGGGCTCGTCAGTGGTAGAGCCAGGAGTACTTTTCTTCTAAACCAGTGTGCTTACTAACATTTTACACCCAAGTGCCTTTAGAGGTTGTTAAAGTTCTTGGAAGTGAGGACTTATGGAGGTGTTGGGTTTCAGGTACCCAACAGCTGATCAGCTTGCTTCATATAATCTACAGAACAAAAACCTGTTCCATGGGGCTTTCCCAGTTCTAGGACCACTATGGCTTGGCCTTTTGTGAGTCACTGGAACCTTCATAATAAATACTCTTCTTATTAGATGTTCAATTCAACAAACCTTTATTAAGTACTATAATGGATAATAATGACAAAACAAAAAGTCCCTGCCCTCAAGGAGCTTGCATTCCTTTAGAGGGAAACAAGTCACACACTGATAAAGTAATATGAAATATATACTAAATAAATATAAGGTAGGGTTGGGGTTTGTCTTTTTTTGGGGGGAAGGGGGGAGCACTAATAATTTGGGGGAATCAGGGAAGGTCTCCAATGGGAATATGGGCAGCTAGATGGTGCTGCGGATAGAACGCCTGGCTTGGAGCCAGGAAGAGCTGAGTTCAAATCTAAGATGAGGGGGAGAAGTAAATGGCAAATGACTCCAGTATCTCTGCCAAGAAAATCCTAAATGGGGTCACGAAGAGTCGGACACGACTGAAACGACTCAACAACAATAATTGAGGAAAGTAGGAAAGGTCTCCAATAGGAAGTGGCACTTGAATTAAGCTTTGAAAGTACCTTAAGCTCCGATGAGAGAGAATTTCAGGCATAAGGGATGGACAGCCTGCTCTAAGGCAGGGAGACCGGAGATACAATGCTGGGTTTCTGCACTTAAAAACTCTAAAATAACGAGCCCCAAATTTTAAAAAATTAAATTAATAGAATAAACTAGGACCTCTACCCCCGCCTCCACAACCCAGCTCAGTTCCCAAGAGGTCAGTGACAGAGCCTGTCACCTCTTTAAAACCAAACTCCACAAGCCGCCCCGCCCCCCTCCCTGTCCCCCGCCCCCATCTTGTTTACAACGCGGCGCAGCCTAGTACTACTCCCGACGCTCCGCCCTCCGCCGTTTCCTATTGGTCAGCGGGGCACGGATAGGCTCGTTGACTGGCTGGAGGGAGGGCGGGGACCCTGGAGTAGGTTGAGCGGGCGACCTAGAGGGGGGTGGCTGGTGATGGCGGCGGCGGCGGCGGCAGCGGCGGCGGCGGGCGGCCTACGTTGGGTGCTCGCTGCGCTCTGCTTGGGCTGCGCCGCTGGGGGGGACGCGTCAGGCCCGCGGGTGCTGGGCTTCTGCCTGGAAGAGGACGGAGACAGGGCCGAGGGTCCGGTGTGGGCCCGGGGCCGAGTGGTCCGGGCCGCGCCCGGGGCCGCCTTCCGCTTGCGGCTCTTTGGCTCCGGCTTCGCCAACCGCTCGTGGCCTTGGGTGGCCTTCGCCCCTGCGGGCGCGGGCTGCCCGGAGGGGGGAGAAGAGTCGGAGGCGGGGGGTGCGCGCGGGGGCGCGGGAGCGCCCCTGAGCGTGAACCCCGAGGCCGTGCGGCCTCACTCGGCGTTGCTCGCGGTGCGCGTGGAGCGCGGCGGGCCCGCGGGGGGCGCGCGCTATCGTTTGTGCAGCCGAGGGGAACCCCAGGGGAGCTGGACGCCCGCGGCCGAGGGGGACTCCCTTACCGTTGAGGAGGCGCCCCTGCTGCCCTGGGCGCTGGGCCTGCTGGCGGCCGCGCTGCTGGGGCTGGCGGCGTTGGCCCGGGGTCTGCAGCTGAGCGCCCTGGCCCTGGAGCCGGCCGAGGTGCAGGTGCTGCGCGAGAGTGGCTCCGAGGCGGAGCGGGCGGCCGCGCAGCGCTTGGAGCCCCTGCGGCGCTGGGGCAGCTTCGCCCTGTGCGCCCTACTACTGTTGGCCAGTCTGGCCCAGGCCGCGCTCGCCGTGCTTCTCTACCGTGCCGTGGGCCAAAGAGCTGTGCCCGCCGTGCTGGGCAGCGCGGGCCTCGTGTACCTGGTGGGCGAGGTGGCGCCCGCGGCCGTCAGCGGCCGCTGGGGCCTGAGCCTGGCCCCGCGCGCGCTGGGTCTCACCCGCCTGGCGGTCCTGCTCACTTTCCCCGTGGCCTTGCCCGTGGGCAAGCTCTTGGAGCTGGCCTTGCGCCAGGAAGGCGGGCGACTGCGGGAGCGGGTGGTGGATCTGGCCCGGGGCACTGACACTTACCACGAGTTCGTGAGGGAGGAGTTTAGCAAGGGGGCCCTGCGGTGCAAAACGGTGGAGGACGTGCTCACCCCGCTGAAGGATTGTTTCATGCTGGACGCTTCGGCCGTGCTGGACTTCGGCGTCATGTCCACCATCATGCAGAGCGGCTACACTCGCATCCCGGTGTACGAGGAAGAACGCTCCAACATCGTGGACATGCTCTACCTCAAGGACTTAGCCTTCGTGGACCCGGAGGACTGCACCCCGCTCAGCACCATTATCCGATTCTACAACCATCCACTCCACTTTGTCTTCAATGACACTAAGCTGGATGCCGTCCTGGAGGAATTCAAACGAGGTAACTGATGCTGCCATTCCTGGAACCGCGGCTTCCTCCTGGAGGGAGTTGGACCGGGATGTGAATGGGATTCTCCGAAAAGTGGAGTGGGGCGGGGCCAGTGGTTTAGGAAGGATGTATCCCGGTCCAAATGCGCTTGTGTATTCTTAGGATTTTGAATTCCGGAGCTGATAGGGACAGCTGAGGTCATCTAGTTCGACCTTCCTCATTTACAGATAAGGAATCTGAAGCCAAATCCTCTATCTCCAAAGCTAGCTTTCCTTCTGCCCAGAAGCTGCTTCACAATCTCGTTTCGTTTGAAAAGAAATTCAGTAAAATAATCCAGCCGAAGGCAGGGGTCAGGGAACAGGGAAATGCCACAATGAGAGAAGTGTTAAGAGATCTGGTCGGAAGCTCAGAGGTCCCTCTGGGGTAAGATCCTTGGGCAAGTAGCCATTTCTGGGTCTCATGGAGCACAGGATCATAGATTTGAGAGCCCGATCTCTGCGTCAAAAGAACTCATCGAAGACCTTGGTCAACAGAAACAAAAGGGCTCTAATGGTCTTAGAGCCCTGGAGCTTTCGCGATCAGATTGTTCTATTCTATTTTAGAGATAAGGAATCTGAGGCCCAGAAGAGGTGAAGATAGTTACCCAAATTGACATAGTTAATGAGTGGCAGAGCTAGGATTTGAACTTGGGTCTCTTGACTTCAAGACACCCATCTTAATTCAGTTCACCTTGGTTAAATTCTTGGTTGCTTGATTCTTTGTATGATTTGTACTCTGTGTATGATTGCAGTATTCTTCCCCTTCCTCCCTTCTTTCCCTATTGGTCAGTTTATGGGGTCTTCTGAGGATTTCTTAACTGTAACTGGGAGTGGAACAAAGCTCCTAGTTTGAATTTAAAGTTCTATCCATCTTTGAGGGGAGGGAACCCATTTATATGTTTATCTTTAAATTGGCCCTTTCTGATTCTAAGGGAACTTTGGATACTGTTGAAGGCATATAATAATTAACAATAGCTAACGTTTATGTTATGTTTACAAAGCATTTAGATATGTTTTCTCTTTGGTTTGTTTCTGCCACCCTGGTAGATTGGTGCTGTTAGTATTATCCCCTTTTTACTGGCGAGAAAACTGTGACACAGAGAAGTTAAGTGACTTGCCCTGGATCACACAGCTAAGTGAGCTGCTAAGTCTCTGAAGCAAGGTCTTATTGCAAGGCCAGCCCTCTGTGCCCTGTGCCACTTGGCTGCCTCTGCTGGCTTGTTTACAGAGGTTAGAGCAACAACACTTAAGATTTTCTGAAGAATAAAGAACTTTTATTTTTCTTTATCTAAAGCAACATTACTGATGGCACCGTTGCTTTTGTCTTTCTTCTTCTAACTTTAAGTGTGATGACTGTTGCACCTTCCCTTCCCTCCAGATTACTGCCCCCAGCTTATCTGTGCTTTTCTTTGAGAGTAGAGAATAAACTTGTCAAAATCCCTGAGAAAACAGGGGTGCATGATGCCCTAGGTTTCCCCTTGCCTACACATGTTGTAGATTTTATCAGTAGATCATTTTGGTGAGACAGCGTAGTACTTAGGGAAAGAGCTTTGGAGGCTGAGGACCTGGGTTCAAATCCCACCTGACACTACCTGAATTCCTTGGGCAAGTCATTTAACCTCTTTGGACCCCAGTTTCTTCATCTGTGAAATGAGGGGGTGGATTATTTGGCCTCTGTGGCCCTTCCAACTCTAGATCTATCATCCTGAGATCTGTTGATAGATTCGTTAGGGCTTCTGGCTCATTTTGAGGTGTTATTCTTACCTAGAAAAGGTGACTGGTACTCCTGAGATCTAGAATGGGAATTAAGCCGGAGGCCACTGAGTGGGCTTATGCCTTAAGGACTGATGTAATATCAGACCATAAACTAACTGGATAAACTGGGAGTGAGCAAAGACTTTAGGCTATGAGAATCAGAGTAAAATTCTGATTTTATGTATTGAGACAGATATAGCCAATAATTACATTGCCCTTACTCATTAAGTAGCTTGATATGTCACTTCAAAACAAAAGGTTTTAGTTCTTATGCCAGTACCAATTTCTATAGGAGATATTTTGTTGGAGAATTCTGATCAAACTGATGAGAATCATTGATTTGTCTTAAAAAATTCTTGATGCTTTCTTGCCTGGCAGACTATAGTTATGCTGCAGAACAACAGGCTCTAAGGAGCCTTTGAGGTAGATAGCCAGCCTGCCTACCTTCGAGCTTCATGCAGAATACTGTAATTGGGGTGGAGCATGAGTTGTCTGCCCTCCTGGTAAGTGAAATTCCACCAGTATAATGGCAGACGTGTTCTCTTGCTCATAAGCAAGATAATAAGAATTCTCCATCCTTCTGGCTCTCTTGGATGTTTTATCTCTGGGATACATTCATTCCCCTCAAATTACCAGTCACTGTACTACTTTTTTTTTTGTACTACTTTTTTAAAAACCTGATTTAGCACTAATGGTGTGAAGAATTTTTCCTTAAGTTTCCTCTCTCATTCAAAGGTTAGACTGTCTTAGGAGTTTGGAGGGAGAGACCAAGTAATTTTAATGCATGGCCATAGGTTATTCCTGTCAGCACCTCTAGTTAGTTAAGCCTCCCTGTCTTCCTGCAGTAACCAGTGAACTTGGTTCATGAAATCAGGCAGTGACTAGTTGTCTGCTGTTGTGCACTGGGGCCTAGGAGCTAAAATTTTTAGTATAGGGATAATAGCAGGATAGCTTTAGGGGAGCCAGCCCTACCTTCAAAGTTGTATTATCTTTCAGTGGGCTGTAGGGCATTATTTCTAATAGGGAGTTATGGCAGAATTGAGGAAGAATAGGTGAATAGGAAGATAAGGAGGTTGGGAGATTTTGTTATGCCTGTCGGGCATTTCCTGCAGATTCAGAGTTGGGATCATTTTTTAAAAATTAAGCTTTTATTAGGACTTTCATCCTTTGTTGTGGTGCCCCTTCTTAAATCTCTGCTACAATTTTGTTTTGCCTCAGCTGAAATCCTATTCTTCTACCTAATTATGGTGAGGAGGTGACCATGAGTTCTCAAAGGCTATTCCAATGAAATGTAAGTCACAGAAGTGTCCCACCAAGTTGCTTAGGCTTTTGAGTACTTGTCCTGTGGTGAGGGACTCTATTTTCTCTGAGCCAGTCACCAGAATGACTGCAGTGTGGTGAATCTTTGACTGTATGATGGTCATCTGTGGTAGAAGAAATGCTCACACTGCTGCATTCAGTTATAGATCCTTAAAGCTTTGAAAGATGTGGGTTTTGGGGGGATTTTTGATTTTGTTTTCATATCTGGGTTTTGGTTTTTTTAAGTGATGTAATATAGCACGAAAGAGGTAGCATGGTATGGTAGGTAAAGAGCTGGCCTCAAAATTGAGAAGACTTGAGTTCAAATGCCCCTTCTGATACATACTGGTTTTATGACCCTGGTAGAGGGAGTACCCGTATTGATGAAGTTATAGATCCTTAAGACATTGAAAGATTTTCTGTTAAGACTGAATAGATCTCTCAGTGCTTCAACCTATAAGTTACCTATAACTAAGCCTGTAAGTTGCAGAGCAGTTGTCAATCTGTACTGGTAAAGGGAATTCATCCCTGGAAAATTCCTCTACTGGAGAAATCACAGGTCAAGTTGAAAAAAGCTATCACAACAGTTATTTGGTTGTCAGTATTTGTTATTTCCAAAGCGTGGTTTTGATGATGCAAAGGAACCTTCCCCTTTTAAGTTTTCACATGCATGTAACTTACCCGTAGGGTCCAGTAAGCCTTCTTATAAAGGTGCTCAACAGTTGAAACCAGTCGGGTCACTTTGATAGCTATTAAGAATGTTAATAAGTTAGATCTTTTTCTTTCCCCAGGAAATACAGTTGCATGGTTCTTAGAGCATTTAGAAACTATACCTTACCCAGAGGACCACTGGTATCTGTCCAGATCTTTCCTCAGCTCTCAATACTGAAAATATTTTTAGAAATTTTTTTCTTTATTTTTTTAATTGATTTTTAGTTTTCAACAATCATTTCCATAAGCTATTGAGTTTTAAATTTTCTCCTCCCTCCCCAAGATAGCATACAATCTAATATAGGCTCTACATATACATTCCTCTTAAACATATTTTCATATTAATAATAGTGTAAAGAATTAGAACCAATAGGAGGAACCACAAGAAAGAAGAAACAAAACAGACAGAAAAAAAAGAGCAAATAGTATGCTTTGATCTGTGTTCAAACTCCATAGTTCTTTCTTTGGATGTGGATAGCATTTTCCATCATGAGACTTTTGGAGATATTTAAGATGCATGCATTGCTGAGAAGAGCTAAGTCTGTCAAAGTAGTCATTGCACGGTGTGGCTATTGCTATGTACAGCGTTCTCCTGGTTCTGCTCATTTCACTCTGTATTATTCCATACGTGTCTTTCCAGGTTTTTCTGAAGTCCGCTTGCTCATCATTTCTTATAGTACAATAGTATTCCATTATAGTCATATGCCAAAACTTGTTCAGCCATTCCGCAGTTGATGGACATCCCCATAACTTCCAATTCTTTGCCACCACAAAAAGAGCTACTATAAATATTTTTGTACATGTGGATCCTTCTCCCATTTGTATGATGTCTTTGGGATACAGCCCTAGAAATGCTGTTGCTGGGTCAAAGGGTATGCACGTTTTTTATAACCCTTTCGGCATAGTTCCAAATTGCTCACCAGAATGGTTGGTTCAGTTTACAACTCCAGCAACAATGCATTAGTGTTCCAATTTTCCCACATCTTCTCCAACATTTATCATTTTCCTGTTTTGTCATGTTGGCCAATCTGATAGGTGTGATGTCGTACCTCAGAATTGTCTTGATTTGCTTTTTTCTAATCAATAGTGGTTTAGAACATTTTTTCATATAACTATAGATAGCTTTAATTTCTTCCTCTGAAAATTGGCTGTTTATATCCTTTGACCATTTATCAATTGGGGAATGACCTGTATTCTTATAAATTTGAC